AGAGCCTTGCGCTGTTATATCAAGTGCATGGCGGCCTTCCGTAAGTCTGAAACTCTTGTTTGTATGCTTTCAGCCTTCTTCCATGGGCCAAAAGGTGTCAGCCTCCACCATAGGTAGGTGGATCAGGGCTTGCATTGCAAGTGCGTATGTATCACTTGCCCTGCCTGTTCCTAGTTATGTGACGGCTCACTCTACCTGCAGTGCTGCCACATCGGCGGCGTGGGCAACTCAAGCATCCATTGAGGATATTTGCAGGGCAGGGACATGGTCCTCGCCTTCCCCTTTCATTAGACATTACTGTTTAGACAAATTTGCCTCGGCTGAGGCTGCCTTTGGTAGGCATATTTTACAACAGATAGTGACTACATCAGGATCACAGGCCCCAACTGACTCCCACCCATAGAGACTCCAGGAGCTTTGGCACATCCCATTGGTGGATTCTTCAGTCATTATGCTGGAGAAGGAGCGTTGGCTTACCTGAACACCTCTTCTCAGCATGATGATGATGAATCCATGCCCTCCCTGCTAGAGGTCAGTTATATCTATGTCAGGGGCTTGTTGTTTTTACTTGTATCTGCTTTGAGAGTCATCACATTGATATGTTGTCATTGGCTACACCGTTGATGAAACTGGGAGGTTCCAGTCAACCAGGGGCGTGACAACTTGACAACTTAGTCTGATTGGGCAGGAGGACTGAAATAACCCATTGATGGATTCTTCATCATCATGCTGAGAAGAGGCGTTCAAGTAAGCCAACGCTCCTTATGTTAAAAAAAGGATATTAATTATCAGGAACTTGAGTAAGAATATTCATCAGGCGTTTCCAGCAGAACAGCAAGAAATAGAAAATGTACAAATAATATAGCCTTTCCTCCCTCTTTAGTCAAGAAAGAGGAAATTTTCCATAATTTTCATAACACAATACACAATCAAATTATTTAAACTGTAACTATTCCGAAGTTATTCCCAGATAGGTATATGTAAGAAAGATTATTATATTCTTAACAGTAGTCTTACTGAAAACAGTGGCTTTATTTTAAGTAAACACACACAGGTTATAGTGTGATATAGTAGCATATTGTATGCTAATACTATTTTGTTACATAGATGTGTTCTAAGCTATAAATGTTTTACACTATTAGCTCATTTGTTAATATATGATATTACTTTTTAAAAAGGCTGAAATTAATGTGTTAATATATTGAACATTTTAAATTGTTGTAATGACTATGCTTTCTCCATCCTTCTAAAGTTCAGAATAATATTATTTTCCACTTTTTCCAAATAGTTTCAGTGGAAAGTAGCGAGTATTTCTGAAATATACTGTAAGGTAATGGTAATAACTTCTAAGTAGCCCTCCTGCTATATTGATGGGATTTGGGGGTGGGAAATTTTTTTTCAAGTGGCCGTAGCTGGTAGGAAAACATTTTGCAACCCTAGCAACGTATTTTAACCATAAAGAAATTTCCCTGTTTTTCTTTCCCTACCACCAAGTTAGAGTAATCTGCTAAAAATGTATGTATTTAAGTTGGAGACATTTTAGAGGTTTATTTTTTCCTCAGCTAGACAGGAAAGAACTGATGAATACAAATTAAATTCTGGAAATTTTTAGTCTCCTGAACTGTAAACTGAGGGTCAAACTGTAAAAAAGCTTCTTGTTAATAAATTAAAGTAGAAAATGCAGTAGATTAGCAAACAATTGTATATCAGCAAACAATTGTATATCAGTAATTTGTAATTAACTTTACTCTCTAAATGTAATATTGAGAAATAAAATACTATTGAAAACTAAGAGACTTTTTTTCAAATAAGTATTATTAAACTTAAACTTTGCTGTCAAAATTATAACTGCTGCAACACTCCTGAAATCATTCGCTCTTATAATGGAGCACATGGTTCTTCAGTGCTCACCTATCCCACTGGGTCCCTGCATATATCGTACTTTCCGGCGTATAAGACGACTTTCGAAAGCGTTGAAATCAGCACCGAAGTCGGGGGTCGTCTTATATGCCGAGTTGTCTTATACGCCGGAAATAACGGTAGCTTCTGACGTATAAGACGAGTTTCTAGAAATGTGACTCGGCACCGAAGTCGGGGGTCGTCTTATACGCCGGGTCACCTTATACGCCGGAAAATATGGTACTCAATTACTCAATGGAGATCAGGCAGTATAGCAGCGTGAATCAGATGGAGCTTGCAAACCTCCAGCTTCCTTCTCTCCCAGCAATCAAGGGCAAATTGGGGGAGATGGAATTTGCAAATTCCAGTATGGAAGAGCAAAAGCACTGAAGACAGGATAAGAAGCAGGGGATAGAAACTAATCAAGGAGAGAACTAACCTAGAAATAAGGAGCAATTTCCTGATAATTAATCAGTAGAATGATTTGTCTCCAGAAATTGTCTCTGGAGGTTTTTAAGAAAAGATTGGACAACTATTTGTCTGAAATGGTACAGGGTTTCATGTATAAACAGGGTTGGACTAGAAGACCTCCAAGGTCCCTTCCAACTCTGTTATTCTGAAAACCTTTACTGCATATCAGGTCTTTATTTATCAACCATGAAAACATAACACAAATAATACGGCCATAAATAATGAAGCCTATGTATATGGCTTGTATATGTATATGAATAGATATATAAATTGCTAAATATCAAAGGATTTAGGGGAGATCTTTCTCAAAATGCATATGAAAATAAGACCTAAAACAAGATAATTTTGAATGCTGGTAAAGGAATCCAAGGGGGGGGGGAAATCTCAGATTTAGGTAAAATAAGAGCTGACTGTGTTCAGCAGGTCAGCGGTTCAAATCTCACCGGCTCAAGGTTGACTCAGCCTTCCATCCTTCCGGGGTAGGTAAAATGAGGACCCAGATTGTTGGGGGCAATGTAAATAAATATATATATACATATATATATATATATATATATATATATATATATATATATATATATATATATACATTGCTTACTGGTGTACACCGCTTAGAGAGTGCTTGCACTTAAAGCGGTATATAAGTCTCATAAATAAATAAATAAATGATTGTTATGCTTAATTGAATTATATGAATGAATAAATGAACGAAGTCTTTCTTAAAATAAAACACTGTGTGCTATCTTTCATGTGGCATAAGTATATAAAATACAATTAATAGGCAATTAGAATACCTGCTTAAATTTTTAGACATTATGCTTTACTAATTCTTCTACAAACCTTTTAAACAATGATATTAGAATGCAGATAATAGTTACATTAATTCATTAAATAAGAATGAATTAATATACAAATTCTAGCAGATGCTTTTATGTTTCAGGTTTTATTAACTGCTGAAATTTATTTTTATTTTATAACTTATTTTTAGTTAAAGTATGTATGACTTTCTGTTGCCAAAATAGTCTAGTCCTTAACTAAATCTTAGAATTAAAACCCCAATGTGTGCATGTGTGTAGTGTATCTTTTTAGAAATATTTTGTACTTTAAATATTAAATCAGTATTTAGTAGAACTTGTACCATAATTGAAAATGATTAAAGTAAGCACTTAGTGGTTTGTAAATATGTTTAATGTCCAGAATGCCTAAGCCATCCACATATTTAAAAAAGGGAGAAATGTTCCTGTTTACCAGTGATATTTATTTATTTATATAAATTTATTTATATATATATATATTTATTTATTTATATTTATTTATATTTATTTATTTAAATCTTCAATTGCACAAGAAAATTAATAAACAAAAAAAGAAATGAATTATGAAAAATGGCTAAATAGAATTCTCAATACAATTCATCTTCAATTGTTCAATATAATTCAAGCTTACATGTCCCTCCTCAGCAAATGTCATGATCTGATTTACATGCTTTTAATCCCTGCATGCCACCTGGATTCACCTGTGTTAGATGAGTGGCCATGGCCACTCATCTAACACAGGTGAATCCAGGTGGCATGCAGGGATTAAAAGCATGTAAATCAGATCATGACATTTGCTGAGGAGGGACATGTAAGCTTGAATTATATTGAACAATTGAAGATGAATTGTATTGAGAATTCTATTTAGCCATTTTTCATAATTCATTTCTTTTTTTTGTTTATTAATTTTCTTGTGCAATTGAAGATTTTAAAATAGCATGCTTAAACGTTTCTTCCCTATTTTATTCTCACAAAAATTCTGAGATGTAGACATAGTGATTGGGTTGAAGTCACTTATTGAGTTTTATGGATATGCAGAAAGTTAAGTCCAAATGTCATCTCTCAGAATGTTTCCTGTATAGCTCAAGAAATTCCAATTATACATGGAATTTCTTTTTTGTTTTGCTGTTTTCTTTCTTTTATTTTGATTTATGAACATTTCAACCCAATCTCAAATGTTTTTTATCCAACAATTTTTAAGGGATATTTTGGGGTATAAGGTATTAGTTTTAAATGATTAAAATCTGAAATTCTAGGCTATAGCAAGATTACTGGTCAGGATTGTAGCAGATAACTCTATTTTGAAAGTAATAGGAATTTTTTAGTTTCAGTGGAAAGGGAATGCAATGTGACCAAGATCATTACTTCCAATGTTGGCTTCTATGTTGTCTCTCAGTTAAGGATAGAAATCTATTACTAGAATTACTTAATAAGCATCAATATGTTTTATAATTATTAAGTTTCTAGTGCTTTGGGCATACAGTATATTCTGTTCTGAATGATATTCTTACAGATCAATGGTGCCATTGAGCATATTAGAACTAAAAAAATGTAAATTCAGTGTAATGGATTATTTTTCTCTATATGAATACAGTTTTTGCTAGGGTTTATAAGAATACTAAAGTTGTGGCTTATCTACAGTTTTTGTCTAGTAAGTAGGAATGGATTGCCTCTTTAGAAAAATTTTTAATGTTGATTTTATAACTGTATCTGTCAGAAACATTTCATGCTCATAGTGGGTTAACAGAGACTGCTCTAAAAATAGAGTAACAGATGAAAGTAGTTAAGGGTTTGGAATTGTTTGTTTCTCTATATTGTTACTTAGCTGTGCCAGTACGCTAGGCTTTTTGTGGTTTTTAGTGGAAAATGTTAAAAGTATCAACAGCATTTTTATGTTAGAACTGAATTAGTCATACACAACTGGCATGGATACTCTGTGAGAACTGCCCAAAAGCTCTTTCTTCTCTCTGCACAGGAAGTTGCATCCAGAGCAGTAGCTCAGTTCTTTGGTAAGTGTAACATGTGAGCATTACTAGGCATTTCATACTGCGGTTCTGCAGCCTGCTATTTAGATGATCGCTTGATTGGAATACTGCTATGGGTGCAACTTTACTTCTATTAGTGTCTTTTGTAATTATGTTTTTAAGGCACTATATCTGCAATAACATCTACTGCATCAAAAATCACAAACTAATAGTAGTCTTTGGATTGAGCATGTAACCTGAAGCAACCTCCAAGGTGGCATCGACATAGATCTTTGAATGAAGAAGTTAATTATATGTAGGATCTGATTTTTTTCCCCTTACTGCCCCCACTCTTTTTTCATCTTACTTTGCTCTGAATGACGCTATAAGAAGAACTTTATTCATACAATGATGAAAAGAAGCATTGGAGTGATGAACTACTTCTGCGTGAAAAGTCTAAAGCAATAATTCAAGTGCTTATGCTTTAGTATTTTCCTAAAGTGCTTGTACTTGCTGTTTTTATGCCTTTTTGGAGCAGCTAGAGCAGTGGGCTGATGGTTGACAACAAATATACTGCATTGCTTTCTGCCTGATAGAGTGAAGCATTCTTTGTTACTGTATATTAGGGAATCTGGGTTGAACAAAGAGTATTATCATTATTGCATTTTATTGTCCTTTATTGTCTGAATTGTTACGTGTAAAGGCATTGCGACCTAGAAGTACATTTCAGGAATTTTTAAATGAAGAAATATTAACCTTAAAGATCTGGTTTTGAATAACTACAGAAAAATAATTTTTACTTGTGAGTTTTAGATATGAAGACTAACATTTTATTAATTAAAATGAATTATGAATGGAAGCACTTGATTAGTCATGTGTGCCTTTTCTGGTAGAAATCTGACTACTATTAACTGGAGATTGACCTTGTTGGACTGGGGAGAGCTGTGATTATCTCTGCCAGAGCAATTGTCTTTTTCTGTACAGAATGGTGTTATGTTGTCTATAACAACGAGCATACTGTTAAGAAAAAACCTATGTAGAAATTAAACAAAAGCAATGTATTTGATATAAGATATAGAATATATGCACTGTTGTAATTTATATTTTAATATTGTTTGAACTAAGATCAATTCTGAATGATCAGTAGGAACAGATTTTTTATTTATAAAATATTTCTTGAAAACTTTGTTAGAAAATACATTGTTAACTGAATTGGCAACTAGTAAACGTATTGGTTGTATGAATTAAAAATTTGAAAATACAGGAGTAGTTTTTGTAACTTAGGTTAGAAGAAAAGAACTTTATGTTCTATCTGTGTATCACTGCAACAAGGCAATTGCAAATTTAAGTTGCTGTTTTTTTAATTGATCAAATGAGTCGAGTGTGTATTGTTGTTTTGGAGGAGGTGGAAGATGATTCTCCCACATTTATTTCCAAACTGCCTCAGGAAAACATATCTCTACATCCTTCAGCTTCAGAGTATGGCATGGTAAGGGACTTCTCTTGTATGTGCCTTATTATAATTTTGGTTCAAATTACTTGACTTGATATAAATACTTTTGCATATATAATATAATTGATAATTCATCTGTCAAAATAGAAATTAATAAAAATTCAATATATACTTACTAATTACTATTTTATGGAAAACTATTTTCTCATATTCTAAGGAGGATTGTGGCCATTTTCTTTAGAAATAAAAAGGGGAAATAGTTAATGGTTAGCATCTGCTAGTTTAATGGATTCTAATTGGCTGAGAATTCTTTTTTAAGAACTCATGGTGTGCTATGTTCTTAAATATGTATACATAGATCGTGTGGTTTTAAACTATTTAATCTTGCAATAGAAGCTAATGTTCTATTAAGATTTAGATTGATTCATTATACTATGGCATATGTGCAGTGTTTTCCTAAATTTTCTAAGGATGATAAAACATGTACAGTGGATATTCTTAGAAACATGTAATGATTGTCAACAGATAATTTAGATATTTTGTACTTCTTTGCTTTTCGCAATAACTACATAAACTTTTTTTTCTATTGGCAAGTTTTGTAGTGATAAAACATGCAGTAGATATTTTTTAAAAAATGAAATTATTATCATCAGATAATTTAGATATTCTGCACTTCCTTGCTTATCACAATAACTACATATACTTTCCTGTATTTTCTGTTGTAAGTGAATGTATTATTGCATTTTTAAAGTAATGTGGTAAGGATGTATAACTTTCTTTCTGTCACAATATGTAATATATTCCATAATAGAATACATTTTTGTTTTGTTTCGAAAATAGTACAGTTGTTGAAGCAGAACATTTTGTAATGATGCTTTTTATAATTTTCTAAATGTTTTTGTTATTCATGGTTTAATATATAATTATATTTGAACACTACCCACCTTAAAATTAAAATATATTGCTGTTGTTTCAGCCACCACTTGTCCAAGCTATATTTAATGGAGATCCTGATGAAGTTCGTGCACTAATATTTAAAAAAGAAGATGTCAACTTTCAGGTAAGCAGATTTGTTTTCTCTTTATAATGCTTTCTCCTTTTTAGAATACGATTTACCGGTAATCTTAGTAAATTCAATTCATGCAAGTCAAGATAATGCTGTTACTACTTTCCTTTATAGATTTTAGCTATTTTTTAGTAATGTTAAACAAGACTCTCATAGTTTTAAAATGTATTTTTAAAGATTCAACTATCACTGACAAATTGCAAGAAACAAAATTGCTATGACAAATGTCATTTTGACACTGTATTTAGTCATAGAATTTATTTGTGTTTATTCTCCAGGTTGATACTCCACTGTCAAATAATTTCTGAATACATTATTTGGCAATTTAGTAGAATTGGAGTTAATTTTCTTTCATGAATGCAAGAAGCTTTTTAATACTGTTCGGTATATCATGAATACCAAAGCTTCCTAATCACTTTATTACTAGTATGAGTAAGTTATTGGTTTTCCTGAAGGTTAGGACAAGAAAAAATTCCAATAAAATGAAGCATAGTTCTTTCAATGTTTTATCATAAATATTCCATTAATATCAAACATTACATAGGGCCCCAAAACCCCAAAATAAATAAATGTTTTTATAACAAAGTTGTTCAATTAAAATTACTGATTTAGCAGGTTTTTTTGTCATTTCTAAAATTTTTTGGAGAAACCTAAAATATTTTTGTAGCACTTGGGAGTTTATTGGGCTTCGGAACGGTGCCCATTGTTCACATAATATAACTTAACCCTCTTCCAGCGTACTCCATTTCTTCTTCCATCCTCTGTCCCTGTAGACAGTTAGAGCATATACTTATTAGACTGTTTTGGATTTTTGCCACTCTTTATGCCATAGGCTATGTAAAAATAGGGTCTGGAAGGATGTGTTATAGTTAGTATGAACAGCAATATCATTTTTACATATATGCAGCTACATTTTCTCTGTATATCTGTTTGGAAATGATATATAATATCTGTAACTTTACATTTCTGATTAAAAGTAAATTCTGAGTTTATTGAGATGTAAAAAAGCATAATTGAGATTCTCTTCATTAGTCTGGCACACTATGAGAAATATATTTTATGTACTAATCAGAAATAGTAATGTCAGTTTAACGATTTCTTTGTGATACTTGATTATGTAACATCATATAAACTCTTAGTGACCACATAGATAAATTTTTTCATGATAGTCTATTCCTAATCTGTTCACTTGCTAGAAAAAAAAATCATTTGGCAAATTGAATTTCCTGAATAAACGTAGGAAACATTCGTTTTGTTGATGTATATGTCATTAAATATTTTGTTGGTATGAAGCAATAAAATAGGCACCTGGAGCACTCTGGAGGAAAATCAAGAATGAAGTCAAAGGAGCATAGGTAGGAGCCTATATGAGAACATAACCTTGTGGTAAGGGTGGAGAACAGAAGCCCTGTTTCAGGTGACCAGGGAGCTCCTGCAGGGCCACTTTAAGGGATATTCTTAGCATCTGTCAGATATAGTCACTTGATTTGTCAGAGTTGAATTCTGGCTAGACAGACCCTTTGGAAGTAACTGAAACAAGTCTGAGTCCTGTTATCAGGGAGGAGTTTAAATCAGTTGACCTGAGTAAATGGGCAGGGTCCTCATGGCTATGAGCTTTGCGAAATGTATTCTGGACCTTTGCCCTTCCTAGTTGATTAAGGCCTGAGGGTGGCATGGGGATGGGACTAAGCAGTAGTTACTGCCTCTTTGTGGAAGGCGGTGGTACTGCCTGCCTTGAAGGCAGTGGTGTGCTTGTTTTCAAAAGATGTCAGTGTACCTAGCCATGTTAAACAATTTTTATGTAATATTTAAATTTCCTATATTGGTATGCAGCTTTAGAGAGGGCCTTGGATGAAGTGGATTGTCTGGACTCTTTTTAGCGTGGGCTCAGACTAGAATATAGCAGGAGACCATGAGTTCAAGTCCCGCCTTAGCTGGTTGACAGCTGGTTGATTTTGGGCCTGTGCCTCTGTCAGTCCAACCCACCTCATAGTGTTGTGGGAAAAATAGGAGGAGGAAGGTGTGTTGGATATGTTTGCTACCTTGGGTTATTTGTAAAAAATAATAAAGGGGTACAAATAAATATATAAAAATAAAATGGCATTGAAGCTGTATTGGTTGCATCTGCTGATAATCTTTGGAGGGCCCAGGGATGGTGCAACTGTTATGTCTCTACTGGGTTTCAATATCATTAATCCTGGTCTCCTTCTGGACTGGAATTGTGAGTGGGAGACACCATTTTGTGGTGATTCTATTTTTTCTTTGTAGTCAGATACAGTTGATGCTGATGGGTAAGGAGAATAGAACCCAAGGCTCATGTAGTGCTCCTCTCCTCTCCTCTCCTCTCTTCAAATTACATGAAACCGTTGGATTAGGTTATCTGATGGCAAACTGTACGATGTCATCAATCTGTTGATGATACACGGCTGTATGGCTCTATCCCTGTTTGGACCGATGATTCTGTCAAAATGCTTGGATGCTGCAAGATACTGGATGGGGAGTCAGTGATTTTGACTCAATCCTAGAAAGGCAGAGTGCCTTTTGTCATATTTGACATTGGAAGAGGTTGTACTCATCTGAATCATGCCTTGTTTGTGTTGATTATTTTATTTGTTGTTTTATGATTATATTTTGCTATTATGAGCCACGCAGAATTATTTAAGATAGGGAGCCATAAAAATATTTTAAATAAAAATAAAATAAATAAATACTTTAAATTAGAATCAGAATAAGTTTCAGTTCAATTAATCACTGAAGATATTTAGAAGATTACTAATATAATTATTGCTGCCATTACCACCTTTTAAATTATAGTAATAATCTTGTTTATCCAATCAGTGCTTTATTTATTTTATTTTTAGAGTGAGGATACTTATTTAGATTTTTAAAGTTATGATTCATCTACTTAATAGCAAGTAAAATTTGACAATATAATTTATTTAAATAATACTCATTTTTTTAACAAATTGTTTAACGAGAACTTTTAAGTCTGATTAAAACATCCCATTTAAATAAAGGAAATTTTATGTCTTAAAGATTAGAAATGTATTTATATATACATCTGTATGAATTTTAAAATATATTTTCTCCTGTATAATTTTGGCTTATATGGATTTTATTGCTTTATTTTATATTTTCAGTTTTAATATATTGCTTAAATTAAAAAAAATCTGAAAGCAAATATTTTATGCCAGAATTTTAAATTGTAAATATTTCATGAATTAGTTGCTAATGATTAATATTTTTCTCCTCTTAATAAAGGATAATGAAAAGCGGACCCCTTTACATGCTGCTGCATATTTTGGAGATGCAGAAATTATTGAGCTGCTTATTTTATCTGGTATGAAGTTTTTTGTTTATAGATATTTTGGGCAAATTCTTCATACAGAAAACCTTTTTTACAAATCCTTGCAAATGTAGTAAGAAAGTAATCTCCTTTATATATTAACTATTTTAATATCAACAAAAGGTCAACTTTGTGGACATCCATTTCTAAAGAGTTGTAACTGCCACTATGATACTATATTTCTGGCTATTATATTATTTCTGTGATTCAAAAAAAAAATCACAGAGAATCCAAGTTTTAATTAAAAAGTTTATTTTAAAGCAAGCAACAAAAAATAACATTCAGAAAAATTAGAGTTACTATGAATTTTACAGAGGAAAAAATATCAGATATTATGAATTAACATTAAAAACAATGGTTAGAAATAAGTGTTAGGAAGATCTATATGGCTAATTGTCACATTGGAATTCCAATATTTCCCTTTGTTATATGAAAATGTAAGGTTACTAAACTGTTTTTGATTGGAGGAATTTGGGATATTGTTAGAATATGCCAAACTTTCTAGAATGGAAAATCTAGCAAGTTCAGTTGTTTTCAGTGATTATTAGCATGCCAAAAGAGGAAGTAGAAGTTCTTGACTTACAATCAATTCAGTGATCAAAATTATGATGGTGCTAAATGAAGGGACCCATGACCCCTGCCTGAGGTTCCAACCATTGCATGACCCCATAGCCCTCTAATCAAAATTTGGGTGCTTGACTGTGCACCCACCTTTATAATCATGGGAGCACAACTCCTCCTCAACCCCTTAGGCCAGGAAGCTGATTAAGTACATGGATGTCTGTGACAGGCCAGAAACCCTTGGCTAGCTAGACACATCATTTCATGAGCCTCCTATCCCACCATTCCTGGGAAATCTTGCTTTCTCCCAGCCCCACCGCAGCCAGAAAGCCACAGCCACTTAAGCCCAGCAGCACAAGGGTCTCTTCCCCCATTAGTAGCCAGCTCATTTAATGACCATGAGTTACAACCAAAATTCTGGGCTCAATTGTGGCTCTAAGTAAAGGTCTATCTGTATAGCTCAGTGAGTCATGTTGTGTATCATTAGTTCTAGTAGATCAATACATGTAGTCCTTGAGTTACGAGTGTAATGCAGCCTGGCCATTCCACTTGTAACTCAAAAACTTGTAGAGTGAATTTTGTACCTTGAACAAGATCATTCCCTTGCTTGTTAAAACGCACGCAGCTCATTCAGCAAACATGAGGTATCAGGGCGGGGAAGAGCCTAGTAATGGAATAGGCCCCCAAGGCCTCCCCAACCCACTAAGATACCGCATGCTTCCCCCTTCCTTTCTGCCATGCCAGACTCACCTGGGAATATTCTTCTCACTGCCGTGGTTCCTGCTACCGCCCAGATCTGAGGCCAGGGGACGCTTCTGTGCCCTCACATGGCCCAATCCAGGCTCTGGAGGTCTTTTCCAGGCCACTGCTGCTGGATTTGAGGCTGGGGAACGCTTCCTCAGCCCCCTGCAGCCCGATCGGGCCTGAAAAATACCTCTGGAGCCTGGATTGGGCCACGGGGGTGGGCGCAGAAGCGCTCCCCAGCCTCAGATCCAGGCCGCAGAGGCCTGGAAAAGGCCTCCAGAACCCCGATCCAGCCTCCAGAAGAACACGGAAGTGTCCCCCTGCTTCGGTTCCATTCTTTGTTGTAGAGAACAGAGGCCTAAAGTACCATGAGATCATATGAGATCAGTAGCTTGAGATCTCACCCCACTGATCTTGCGTTACTTTAGGCCTTGAATCTCTGTGAACGTACCAAAGGCCTGGAACAGCCAAGAAAGCGAAAGATCTCGATCTTCGCAGGGTGAGTATTAAAGGTCTGGTGCCTAGGGAGACCCAGGGTGGGAAGGGAGGGAATAACCAGGGTGAATATTGCAGAGCTACTGCGGTTGCTTCTAAGGGTGATGCTGCAATATTCGTAACTTCGGGACTTGCTTGTAAGCACTAGGAGGCGCTCACGTAACTTTGAAAGAGCGTTAAGTGAACCCTCGTAACTCAGGAATTATCTGTATAAGGAGATTAAATAAATGATAAGCAAAGCATATATTAAATGTTATGTAGCATTGCAATTTTGAAAAGAAGCAGAGTCTAATAAGGAAATAGGTTTGCTTATTTTTTCTAAAGATACATTGATTGATTGATTGATTTGAAAATATGCCATTTTATCCACCTATCCCATGTTTTAATGTTTTCCTAATAGTAATGCATGCATTCATTTTATTTTTTATTTATTTTAATCCAAGTAGTCTTTTTAACGCTTTTCAAAACATGCCTTGAGAATTTTATGTCTAAAATTAACTAACAGTCCTTTGTAGTTCTTAAGATTATTATTATTATTTTAAATATTTTATTAAGTTTATATAAATGAGGAAAAAGTAGGAACAATACAGGTATGGGGAGGGAAGGGGATGGGGGATTTAGGATGGAATAAGGGTAGGTACAATAATCTCGTACTTTAACAAACAAGCTACCGTCCGGATCATAATAGTGAATAAATATAATTTATACCATACTCAGCCATTTTAAAATAAGATTAACTATAACCATATTAATATGATTTTTAAATAGAAACCTGAGAATTAATATTTCTTTTGCTACTATTCCTATTAACAAAATATTTTAATGGGATAGAAATAAATTTGGATAACTTACTATTCTTCTAAAAGCTCTCTTTTATTCTAAGGATGTAGTTTATTGGAAGCTCCGCATCTTCCATTTCTTGCAGTGTAATCCTATAAATGTTACTTGGAAACTAGTTTCACTGTGTTCAGTGGAGCTTATTTCTAGATAAGATACATAGGATTACAATTTTGAATTCTAATCTGTATTAATTCTTATTTTTGTTTTGGAACTTCAGTTGTGGTTTCCTGAAAGATAATACTGTAAGTTAGCAGGATGCACCTACTATATCATTTTAAACAGATAATTATATTACAAAAGTTGAAAATTATTAATTAGTTAGAGCAGTGGTTCTCAACCTTTTTAATGCTGCGACCCCCAACCGGTCGTAAGTCGAGGACTACTCAACTGGTGCAGCACCGTTTGCAGAATGGGACTTTTGGCAGGCTCAGCAGGACAGAGACAGATGGACAATTCCTATTGGCTTTTGAAAGCAATAGAATTAGACTCTATTCAAGAGAGTCTATTCTATTGGCTTTCAAAAGCCAATAGAATAAAAGGGAGTAGCACAGCCAAGGAAAAGGGGGAAAAATGGCGGACTGCGTTGTTTGGCAACCCCTGTGAAATGGTCGTTCGACCCCAAATGGGGTCCCGACCCACAGGTTGAGAACCACTGAGTTAGAGAATCTACATATTAGTCAGGGAGCTTAATATGTTAATAATCATATCATATGTAAACCTTGTGCCATTCATTTTCTCATTGAATGATTTGGAAAATTAAACTAAATTAAATTTTCTAAAGGAGAAACATAAACTGCAGTTTGCAAAAAACTTGATTAAAGTATACTATTACTAATTAGCAGCACTTAATACTTTTATTATTTCTTTTAAAAATTGTTTGTATGAGATTAATATTGCTTTTTAAAAATTTCTGTGCATCTATTTGCAGGAGCTAGAGTTAATGCCAAAGATAGCAAATGGTTATCTCCTTTACACAGAGCTGTTGCAACACGTAGTGAGGTATGCAAGGTTTTTTAACATTTAAATATATTTTATTTCAAAATATTTTTTTATTGTAATCTTTAATTTATAGCACTTGGAGAAGGATTGGTATTACTCATGCATTGGCACATTTGCAAGCTATATAGAGCTGATATGTAACATCTTCCTGTTATGAAGCTGGTAAAAATTTTTATTTGATATTATACCATCATAGGAATGATTGATTCTAAAGGATGATTGGAATAAGAAGATGAGGATAAGGATGAGGCAGTGAAGACAGTCTATACCAGTGCTACGTTAATCTGTCAAAATAGCTTTTTTAAAATAAATATTAATCGGATTTAACAAAGAATGTAGACAACTAAGTCCCCTCAAATATATATGTGTATTACATTTGGAATATCACTTTCCTATGGGGTTATCTATTACTAATTATAGATATAACAAGTATAATAGTGGATATAATTTAATAGGAATTATGAATTTCAAAAGGGCTTCTGTTCTTCGTTATTATCTAATAAAAAGTCATTTTGCTATGATTCATGAATAGAAACTCTAAGAATTGGGGAGACAGATGGTATTTATCAGCACTACAGCATGATAAGACTTAGAGTGTCATTTTAGCTGACATTAATACATGTTCTAACTTACCTAATATTTGCTACAACCAAAAGGCAGATAGGACTGCTTCCAAAAAATATAGTAACAATTAAAGCATTTGTTTTGCTGTGAAAATAACTAGTAGCTACTGTCAAAAGCATGTTGTGGAGGGGGAGCATGTGTAGTTCTGGGCGAGCTTGCCAAAATGTAGGATGTGATAAGCAAATAAATCTGACAGTTGCCTATGTGAAAACATTCATCCATGTACTTAAATACCATAATTATTTTACAACTACATTTATATGGATTTTTCTTCTTCTCTTCTTAAAGGTCCACCAAAACTACAGTTTTTGCTAGCATTATTCTAAAAGATAAAATTTATCAAAGGTAACAGGATTAGAAATCAGTCACAAATTATTTTTAAATTTTTTATTGACCTTTTCTGCTTAACTCTCCCTTGAATCAGGGTAGATTTCAATGATGTCTTGGTTTTTGGTTTAAGGAAATGTTAAGAGTGGGATGATCATTAGTAATTATATTATATAATGGTGTGTTATTTTTTAGGATGCCGTTCAGGTGTTGTTGAAGCATTCAGCTGATGTCAATGCTCGTGACAAAAACTGGCAAACACCATTACACATAGCAGCTACAAAGAAAGCTGTCAAGTGTGCAGAAGCTTTGGTGCCATTACTCAGTAATGTAAATGTATCAGATCGGGCTGGTAGAACAGCATTACATTATGCAGCTTTGAGTGGACAAGTTCAGGTACAAATGACTTATTTTCAGTTCCCCAAATCCCCTAACTGCAAGCAGGTGTTAATTTATCTGATTTTACTGCTACATATAAAGGAAACCACAGAACATACTTGAAATTTCAAATATGATAGGAAATCATCATAGGGCTAGCATGTTAAAATGGTGCTCTAATCAAGCCATTATTTTATAATTTTTACTCAGTTGATGTTATTGCATTGTGAAACACAAGGAATTAAATATAGAATTACCAAACAAATTTCATGCAAGATACTACCCAGTTCCAGACAAGCAAAGATTCAATAGTGTCCTGCTTTATAGGCACCCAGGCCTTATTGTTTTCTTACTACAGGTGATGTTGGCCTTCCTGGAAAAACCAGACAGGAAACATGACTAGATGAGCTAAATTTACTTTATTATAAGACTACATTAACAGAATCCTTCAAATCTGAAAATATAGATGTTCTCCCTGCCCTTTTAAGTGATGGATCCATTAGGGGGGACCTTTCTAAGTTTCTTTCTTTGGCCACTAAACAGTTGCAGGCTTCTTCTGCCTCTCTTGTCTGATGGTTTGCTAGGTAACATCTTTCTCTTTTCCTCAAGGTGAACTATGCATTCCATCATAGTGGTTTAAATTTAATGATCACTTGTTCAGCAACCATTCAAACATATGATATACTGAGCAGGTGCTGGTTGTAAATGGATCTCATACTTGCAGCCATCATTATATCCTGTGATAACATAATTGTGATTTGAGACTTTCCCTGCTGGCCTCCCACAAGCAAAGTTAATGGAGAATCCTGTAAGAAGTTGGAAGTTGCAGTCATGAGACCCTCACTTAACAAACTGTGGAGCTTGTTAATGGCAACTGGGACTGTTGCAGCTGCTGGTGCTAAACCCCACAGTCACATTTTTTAAACTTAAGACAGTGTTGTTTAATGATTTAAGTTTGAAGATCCATGTGGTGTTTTTAAATGAGGACTACCTATACTTGAAACTGGTTAACAAACTCTACGGACACAATTACATTTTTCTTGTGGTTTGATTCTTGGGCCTATCCTTCATATAAGATGTAGCATTAGATTGGAAACTTTTGCTTGTTCCCTAAGGTTTATGACTTTCTTCAGGATTTCAAAGATAAACTGTATTGCTCTTAGTAAAACTAATATGTCAATAAAATCTAAAATGAGTTTATCTGTCTATTAAAGCTTAGCAAGAGCTTTGGCTTCTGTAGAGAAATATGGAGATAACCTTGAAGAGGTAGTGCAAAAAAGATTAAATATACACCAAATTAGTCTGATAAGGACTAAGGAAGAAGGGTTGAGAAAGATATTTAGGATAACATTGACTTGATTTTGTTTGGAATAAAATGGGGCAGACATAATTCAAAATCCTGTTCCCTAATCCGGCTTACCTTGGAGACTGATACCCTCATTATAAATATAAATTTTAAATGAGATTAAATATTATACCAGCGGTAACATTTTTATTTGTTATAAATAAAATGTTATTGTTTAAAAATGTTACCCAAGCATTGAAGATTGGACTTCACACAAATACTTCTGTATATTAAGAAATATAACTATCTTCATTCTAGATGGTCAATTTATTATTATCTAGAGGTGCCAATATCAATGCCTTTGATAAGAAAGATAGACGGGCTATCCACTGGGCAGCCTATATGGGTATGTAAATTAACTTTTTTTTCCCCTTGACTTCCTTTAAAGTAGGCATTTACATGCTATTTTCTTCCTGCATAGTTTGCATGAGGTTTGAATGGATATTTGGGGGCATATTCCTGTATATTTCCTTCTTGGTACAGATGAAAATTTATTGCTCTACCAGTATTGTAAGGATGACCTAATTTAAAATAATGATATTCTGTTACCAACAGACAATCACATGTTATTATAAGCAAGAGTTCTCGCTCTGAATTTAAAAAACTTTAAGTATCTGCTCTGACAGAGTTACAATTGCTTAAATATTTAAAAATAACTTGTAAGTACTAGAAAGAAAAGGCATTTTATATGTTCTCTGGCAATTATAATATCAGAACTGTAGCAACTTAAAAAAAATATCTATATCCAAGTATTAAAACTGATCAATTAGTGTAGAAATTGAATCTTTTCAAAAGCTTGAACAGATCCCCATATTCCTGGGGACTAATGGGATTGCACTACTCCAAGCAGAACTAGTATTCAGTTTAGAATCCTCTTGGACTCACAACCCTATTCAAGGAACAGGTGGCAGATGAAGCCATTGGAACCTTTACACAATGTTGTATTATGTACCATTTACAGCTATTCCTGGACAGAGGGCTAAGCTCATGACCACACATGCCTGGTTACCTCCTGAAAGGATTGCACCAGTCCCCTTTACATGGGGTTGTCCTTTAGAACAGAGCTTTTTAATCTTTTCACCGATTGTACCACTTTTAGAATATGGAAATATTCAAGTACCACCAGTCGCCTAGCAAAGTGTCAAAAACTTGATGAACAACAACAACAAAAAAAAAAAAACGGAAAAAACCCTAACCCTAATCCCTTTAATATCCTCTCTTCTCTCACCCCCTTTAATATCATCTTTTCTCTCACCCCCTTTAATATCATCTCTTTTCTCATCCCCTTTAATATCCTCTATTCTCTCACCCTTTAATATCCTCTATTCTCTCACCCTCTTTTATATCATCTCTTCCCCCACCCCCCTTTATATCCTCTCTTCTCTCACCCCCTTTAATATCCTCTCTTCTTTCACCCCTCTTTATATCCTCTCTTCTCTCCCCCTCAGCAGGACCAGGCAATGCTGAATCTTTGCCTGAAGACTGCATGAGGCTGCCTGCCCCCCCCCCAAATCAGCTGGAGCTCCATGCGTTGATCCTGGGCTCTTCGCAGGACACAGGCAGGCAACGCTTCGTGCAGCTCCAGCTGAATCTCTGCCTGAAGACTGGATGAGGCTGCCTGCCATCCCCAATCAGCTGGAGCTGTGTGCGCTGATCCTGGGCTTTCCACAGGACCCAGGCAGGCAACGCCTCATGCAGCTCCAGCTGAATCTTTGCCTGAAGACTGGGTGAGGCCACCTGCCACCCCCAATCAGCTGGAGCTGCATGCGCTGATCCTGGCTCTCAGCAGGACCTAGGCAATGCATTGCACATTGCTGAATCTCCACCTGAAGACTGTGTGAGGTTGCCTGCTACCCCTAAGGCCGCCGCCAATCAGCTGGAGCTGCGTGCTTTGATCCTGGACTCTCAGTAGGATCCAGGCAATGTGCAGTTCCAGCTGACTTTCCCACAAGCCTATGCAGAGCTGCTGCCATTTCACCTCATCCACTTTTACACTTTTTTTACACTTTTTTGTATAGTGCTGTTTAACCCTCCAGCCAGGTACCACCTGCCAGGTGCCAATGTACCATTAGGGGTATGCATATCACTGGTTGAAAAGCCCTGCTTTAGAACATCCAGAAACTGCAACTGATATAGAATGCAGCAGTATATTTAGATGTGGATGCTCCTTGGTCAGGCTATGATCTTTTACTCTGCAAACTTTATCGCCTATTAGTATGGGCATATTTCAAAGTATGGTACAGGTAGTCCTCAACCTACAATGACCGTTTGAAATTACAACGGCACTGAAAAAAGTGAGTTAGGACTGTTTTTCAGACTTAAGACTATTGCAGCATCCCCATGGTCACATGATCAAAATTCAGATGCTTAGCAATTGACTGCTTTATAATGGTTGCAGAGTCCCAGGGTCAAGTGACCATCTTTGTAACCTTCTGCCAATAGGGAAAGCTAGATTCACTTAACAATCATGTTCCTAACTTAACAACTGCAGTGAGTCAGTTAACATCTGAGACAAGAAAAGTCATAAAATGAGACAAAATTTGCTTAACAAATGTTTCACTTAGCAACAGAAATTTGTAGTAGTTTTCAGTTGTAGTCTTAAATCAAGGATTATCTGTAGTAAACCTATAAAGCTTTTCATGACATGGGACTGAGTTATTTGATGGACCATCTCTCCAATTACATTTACTTATTCCATTAGGTCCAGCAGTAAAGGCATGAACTGAGTTCTAGTATTAGGGAATGCCATCTGGTGGAATCCAGGAACAGAACCTTTTCTTTCAGGGCACCTATTCTTTAAATCATTTGCCCCCTCAAGCTGGCCTTTTATAAAGCATTAAAGATGGTTTTGTCATTGAGCTTGCTGACAGAACCTGTATAATGAATCTACTGATTTATGACAATAGGTTTCTTTTTACCTCAGATGCTGATTACATGTATGCTTTGTTTGTGTTGTTACATATTTTGTGGTGTTTTGAACTCTTGTTAAAAATTTGAGATGGGTAGTCACATTGAATGAATGAATTTTATTTTATTTTATTTGTTGAGGTTATATTGATGTGGTAAAACTGCTTGTAGCTCATGGAGCAGAAGTGACGTGTAAAGACAAGAAATCATATACACCATTACATGCTGCAGCATCTGCTGATATGATTAATGTAGTCAAGTACCTTCTTGATCTTGGCGTTGATGTAAGTAGAAATAATTCTAAATCACATTATTTCATTTAATTTAATAGGAACATTGCCATAATATAACATCTTTATAAATAACTCATACTTCAAATAAGAGTAAACTTGCTAACATTTCAGTTTTCTTTTTTAAATGTCACTTAATAGATTGTAGTTTGTTTTATTAACTTGTATTTCAAGCAGTATTGTGACAGTCTAATTCTGTCAGAAAGTGTGTAAAAATCATTATTCTCTAAAACTGTAGTCTTCAGTATAAGCCATAAGTATTTTCATGACAAATGTATAAAAGTAATAAAGATAATTTACACAACAGACACAATTAAACACCATTCAAATATTGAAAAAAACAACCAACTTTGCTCATCATCTCACAAATCTAAAACAAACAAGACAACGGAAAAAATGCCAAAAGACAGATTTAAAAAATATATCAATTTTGAAAATATTGTTTTTTCTGACTTTTGCTGCTTTTATATGAACTCTCAGTTGCTTACTATTTTAAATATTGCTGAGATTCAACACAATATGGAGGAATGTCTTATTGTGCACCTTGCCTTATTTCTTCAAATGAACATACCGAAAATATATTTTATTCAGAGATATTATAAGCCTACCCCAGTCTAGTCTACAATGACAGGAAGTAGGCTTTGTTATTTATGGGAATCTATTAGAAGGGATTAAATTGTCTTCTGTAATTTTGACTATTTATATTCAAATTCTGTTTTTTTTTTCAATGACGCACAGTGGTTCCTAAAACTCTTTGAGTATGAGATCTGCTGTGATGGAATAAAAATATTTGATATAGATGGATGGACGGATGGACAGATAGCTTTAATGAAATTTACGTAATTGTTATTATTCTTTAACAGATCAATGAAGCAAATGCATACGGCAATACACCTCTTCATATTGCTTGCTTCAATGGACAAGATATTGTAGTAAATGAACTAATAGACCGTGGTGCTAATGTAAATCAAATGAATAAGAAGGGATTTACACCTTTACATTTTGCTGCTACATCAACTCATGGAGCATTATGTTTAGAGGTTTTGGTTGGTAATGGTGCAGATGTAAATGCGAAGGTAAAATGACTGAAAGGTGAATTTTAAATGCTGTAATAATATTTTGAATATCTTTATATATTAATGTAGATATCATTCCTAAAAGTCATAGAAAGTAAAATATTCATTTTTAATACCCAAGAAATATATTTTATTGTGCGAATATTTAGGGAATATCTAAGGATTATATTCATCTATTAATTACAGGAGGCTTTAACTTATGACCATTTATTTAGCAATGGTTCAAAATTATGATTCTGAAAAAGGTGACTTACAACCTATCCTTAATCTATATATATAAATTTCATTTTGAATATATATTTAGTATATTGATAAATAATAATAGGCAACTTTGAACACTTTAAAAAGTGTTCATTAATATCTGAATAAGTGAAATTTTATGTGATGCAAAATCATCAAACTTAAATTTTCTTTCATTAGAAAGAGACACAGGAAAAAAAAATTGGTCCACAATCCTGAAACTATGTATATGAATCAATATAATTAACATTATTAACTATATGATAATAATTTATGATGTTTACAGTTTACTAAATTAAATATTATAAAAAGACACAAAAATACAATTTATAATGATAGATCAGCAATAGACAAGTGAAAATGTTTCCTCAAATTTATCTTAGCTAATTTTGATTGAAGATTATATAATAAAAGTTTTGAAAAAATAGAAACATCCTTATATATTAAGATTGGCATTTCCAAAATATCTTTATAAGAATAAGGTGTTATTTTATGTATTTAATAATTGGATAAAGTTTTAGATGCCCCTTTACTACACTATTTACAGTCTTATAATTAAAGCCAAAAGTGCAGGTGAATAAGCATAAACACTCATATACTTTCACGTAAAAATTTTGTGTATGCTTTGTATTTAACTTACCTACTATCATTAGCTAGATACCAAGGGACTAAAAAAAATTTGTCAGATGTAATGGTTATTTGGTTATTACTAAGAATAAAAAGTGATCATCTTGAAAAATCTATAGCTTTTTTTTATTTGTAATCACCAGTAGAGTTTTTATATAAAAAGGAATATAAATAGGAAAGAACAACAAGCAGCAAATTCTATATTTAATCTTGTAAATGGTCTTGATAGTCATGGGTTTGACTTCTTTTTCCCCTAGAGTAAAGATGGAAAAACACCATTACATATGACAGCTATTCATGGAAGATTTTCAAGATCACAAACCATCATCCACAATGGTAAAATAAAAAAGCAGTATTACTTATATTGTTTGACTATTATTTGGAATAATCATATGTATTAATTTTTATCTTCTTATATGCTTAAATTAGTAATTATATGAATCTGAATATTTTAAATACAGATTTCAGACTACAGAATCTGTAGGATATTGTTTCTCTTGTTCAGATGTCTGAAATTCCATTATCCTTCAGTGCTTAAGCAGTTCCAAATTCTATTATAGTTTTTATTTGATATTGTTTATAGCTTAGCTTAAATTTACATCCTGACTCCTAACTCTAAAATGTAATGTTATTATTTTTAGTTTTATAAATAGTGATTTTTTAATGAAGAAATTCCATATAGAGTGAAGACTTCTCTGGGTGGTGTAAACTTTTGTCTTCTCATTTCAGTCTTTAATTTGTGGTACAAATTTGCTGATAGTGTTATTTTCACAAAAAAATAATATTTGGGACTGCGAAATTAACTAACATCACTCTATAATCACAAGAATAAAATGCATGTGTACTTTGGTGTTATTTAAATCATAAAACTATTTTTACTTACAAAAAATATTAAAATATTATCACGCTGCAAAATATATGTGGGTCTTGTTATCCAAATTGTATAACAAATCAACAGTAGGTGTCATTGTGTATATTCTTTGTTTTTTCTTTTTTCTTTGTACAGGAAAAATAGTATTAGTTATATAATTGTACTTTCCATAGAATTTAATCTCAGCTTCACCATTTGAAATTCCCCAATAAGATGTTTTTAAATATGAATTTATTTGTTTAACCATTTAATATACTCACATGACTACACTTTATATTAATTTAATATCCAGGAGCAGAAATAGACTGTGAAGATAAAAATGGAAATACACCATTACACATAGCAGCCAGATCTGGCCATGAACTGCTCATTAACACACTGATTACAAGCGGTGCTGATACAGCAAAGTAAGGAGCATTTAAATTTTTTAATTATGTATAAATGTGGTATATGTGTGGGTATGCAAAAGTCATGGATTCAGAAATGGAATTTTCCATGAATTTTATCAGAATGAATCTCTTCTAGATCATTTTAGCTTGGGGAAGCATGACAGTTTCAACGGCATGATTAGGATAGTTCATCGGCATGATTAGGATAGTTCATCATAATCCAGAAAGGAAACAGAACATGAGTTTTGCAGATACCTAAAATGCATGTTGATTCAGAAAGTTTTGAGCAATAGGTGATAACTCCTTAAGGCATTTTAGTGCCTCAGTAATAATATAGTAGCAAAGGTTATAAAGTGCTTTTTGGAGCAGAAGACTCTCATTCAAATGTAATATAGTATCCTGCATAAAAGCTAGGAAATTACCTGGGTAAAGTGGTGCTTGAAAGAATACAAAATACCCAACCGATATCTTTGAAATATGATTCTTTGCAATAGAAAACATTAATGACAGCTTACACGGCATTTTCCAGAGAATTTACTGGTTTAAATATTCTATGACAAATAGAGTTCATAATTCTTTAAATTCATCTGTTGATATGCAATCTAATATATCCCTCCAAAATTTACAAAACAATATTTATAAATTTATAGTTCTGGCAGTAAAATTTATAATTTAATTCAACAGTCAAATCTCAATGTATTAGGACATTTTAACTCTATGAAATTAATGTCCATGAAATGGAATTTGGCATGACATCCTGCACTATATGTATTGTAATAAGACTGTGATGTCTGATTGTGGTGTATCTTAGGCAGGGAATACATGGAATGTTTCCTCTCCATTTGGCAGCATTAAGTGGATTTTCAGACTGTTGCAGAAAGCTGCTTTCATCAGGTAGGCTATTTAAATTAATTTTAACTCTTCTCCTTTGAGCTGCTTGCATATTGAAGAAAAGAATTTGATATTATCAAAGCAAATGCACTATAAAAGGTTTCTATAGCAGAACTAGGCACTGATAATTATTGAAAGCTATGGCCTTATCTCTAATCCACACGGAAAAATCAATAACTTGATTTAAAAATTACAGTTTTCAGATAGTGCTTTTTTTTAAAAAAAAACAGTTAAATAAATGCGTGTCTAAGAAGGGAATTCAGGGTCAACCCTGCCTGTCCTGTGAGTGAACAGTAACTAGCAAATTAGTCTCCTTGCTGCCATCACTTCGCTATAAACTAACTGGTTTTCCCTTCCACACCAGCCTTTTGGGGAACCAGGAGAGGACTTAAGACTTTGCTGCACTCTTGGTCTGAATGAATGAAGAGAGGAAAACAAAATAAAAAAATCAGTGAGTCAGTAACTTAGCCAAGCTGAGACAAATAAAAAGGTCACTGCTAGGATTGAAACAAAAAAAACAACCCCAGCTTCATTAAAAATAAGTTTCCATTAACACCACACACAGTTTAAATACAAAATAACACAATTCTAATTATGGCTAAATAACTTCCAACCTGTAACTGTCTTATACAGGACTTCAACTAAATCCCTCAGAAAATACGTCTAAAACTCTTCCTATCAGAAACTCCCAGAATCCTTTCTTTTCCCATTTATTGGCCCTTAAGGATCAAATTTGACTTTTGATTTAAAGGGCAGGTAGTCTGCACTACAGCATGATATGCTATCTTTGGTCAGTGTTTATTTGTTTTATTTATTAATCACATTTGTATAACCACCCATCTCGCCAAAAGCAATTCTGATGGCATGCAATAATAAAGCAAACAGCAGATATAAAAATATATTTTAAAAAATCCCCATTGTATTAGTGATCAAAACTAATGTTTTGGTGTTCTTTATTTTTTAATCATGTGAATATTCTGAATTATTATAATATAAACAATGAAAAATGGGATATAAATTTATAACTAAAAAAAGATAACTTTTTAATTTAGTAACATAGATTATACCCAGAAATGTCTTTAATTTTTATAGCTTGGTTTTAAGCTGGTTTAGTGATTTGATTATAGAAAATTTAATTCTCTATTCATAAACCTTTGTTTTAATCAAATAGTTGTTAGCTTTCATATGCATTTATTTATAAAATTTGTTACCTGCTCTGTATTATTACTCTAATTCCACATCATTGTTTGATCTGCTAACCATTCTAGCATTACTGACTTCTCAAATGAATTTGCATGCATGATGTAGCCAAAATAAATTAGAAGCAGTCTTGTGATTTTAACTTCTAGTGATGTTTCTGGTTTTATATGATTCAGCATTTCTCTATTAGTTGTTCTGGCTGTCCATGGTATCAATAATTTACACCAGCACCATAGTTTAAAGGTGTCGATTATTCTTCGGTCAGACATTCTTAGTGCCCAACTCTCATACCCATACCTCATCACAGGGAAGACTTGCTCTAACTAGCCTGCTTTTTATATTTATATCAATATCTCTGCTTTTCCATCTTATTCATTTCAACCATTGCGGTGTGGCCTAAGGTTATCCTGTGTTTAATTTCAGATGTAGAACTGTTATCTTTTTTTTTCCAATTTTATTTTATTTTCATTACAATCATAAGAAAAAAAATTCAGATACATAAGAAGTTAAAATACCACACACAAATTCCGACATTGCTCACCCATTTCCCCCCATACTGCATCCCCCTCTCATCTCTTCACTTCCCCCTTCCTTCCTCCCCTCCCTCTCTCCTCCATCTTTCTACTTACTTATCCCTCTCCTCTTCTTCTCAGTCGGATGCGGTCTGAGGGAAAATGCCCAAGCAATTCTCTATCACCAAAATCAGAACTATTGAACATACTACCCATACTCCCCCGTCCCCCCTCCCCCCACCCCCTTTTCCCCCCAACTTCCCAGAGCTCAGTACAGGATTACAAAAAAAAGAAGAAGAAAAGAAAAAAAAAGAAAACTAAACATAGTCAACTTAAATTTACTACTTATACAATAACCGGAATCCTAATAACCCTTAACTCTCTGCAAACTTGAATTCATAATTTAATAAAAATTCATTATTCATAAATAAATGAAACTTTGTTGTTCCATACTTCTTCTGAATATATTCTATCCATTTTCTCCATACAGAAACATATCTCTTTTGTGAATTGTCCTTTAAGTAAGCAGAAATTTTAGCCATTTCTGCTAAGTTAGAAACCTTGAACACCCATTCTTCCAAAGAAGGCAGAGAATCTTTTTTCCAATACTGACCCACCAATAGTCTTGCTGCTGTTATTAAATTCAGCATTAAAATAGTTTCCTTATAGAACTGTTATCTTGAACAATTTTTGATCCAAGGAAAGTAAATTTTTGAACTAATTCAACTTCCTCCCTGCTGATTTTAAGCAACTCATATCCAGCTGCAGCTGTCATCATTATCTTTGTTTTCCTAAAGTTAATACCCAGTCCTACCTCTTCACTTTCATCCTTGATTTTCCAGATCTTCATTTTTTCCAGATCTTTTTATTTTCAGTCAATAGCATTGTGTCATCTGCATACCTCAAATTATTTGTGGTTCTTCCTCCAATCTTCCAGGTCTAAATTCTGCATGATCACTTCAGCATACAGATTGAACAAAAATAGTGATAAAATACATCCCTGTCTAGCTCCCTTACTGATCCTGAACCAATCTGTCATGCCAAAGAACATTCTCACTGTTGCCTCCTGATCAGTGTACGTCTGATAAGTCTGATAAAGGGGGTAGGAAATTTAGAAAGCATTTTATTTGGTACAGATACAAATATAAAAAAACATTAATCTTTTTTTCCAGAATTACCATAATACACAGTACTTCTATAATAATAAACAATTATAATAATCAAATCCCAAAGTTAAAATTTCATTTATTTCAAAAAATAACAAAAGTGCCTTTCAATCTGGATTACAAAACATTGTTCATTTCTGTTTTGCAATCCTGATATTTGGAAAAAGTGTCTAAAATAAAAGCTGATAAATCTGCTTGGTCTTGCTGGCCATATATTTGCTGGTACAGATTTCTACTGTACTCTACCAGAGACAGAAACATGTCTCTAATCTTTTGTTGTATATCTAAAATGCAGTGCAGGAACTAGAGAATTCCTGCTGTGTCCTAAACCTAGAGGAGCATTCTGTGTAGTGCATAAACAAGGTTTCAGTTCAGCAGCTTGACCTATAGGAAAGGTCAAAGGTTTGGTTTGCCTTTTTACTTGCCAGACAGTCAGTGCAGCCATTGAGCAGAAATTCACAGGCATGTACTTAAATTCCAATTCAGAATTGGGAACGGAATGTGAAAGTGGCTCAGTTGACTTTGCCTCTGGAAGTGACAGGAATTCAGAGGTCAGGTTTCTTGTTAGACATAGTATATGTATACTCAAACTGAAGGCAGAGGTCAGCTGTCTTGCTATGCTTTTGCTGTGATAAGACTGCTGGGAAGGTGAGGCAACGGCAGGAGACAGCCTGATTAAAGCCCCTCAAGGAAAGCCCTTCACCCTTCAATCAGAAGAAGGAAAGAGATATTCTCAAATAATTTGCAGCTTTACACTACCTTAAACCATACAGTCATGACAGAGAAAGCACACCTTGTGTACAGTTTTTTCCTTTTTTAACATATGTATACATAGGCATTTTTATCAACAGACAGTATATATGATGTACAGGTAATCCCCGAATTACAAATGTTCCCTTAGTCAATGTTCGAAGTTACATTATAAGTGCCCTCTAGTGGTTATGAACAAGTCCCAAAATTACGAATGTTGCAGTGCCACAGCAGTCGTTCATCCTTACAAACGGCCACAGAGGCACTGCAACATTAAGCCTGGCTATTTCTTCCCCCCTCCCCATCAGGTCTCCATAGGCACTAGGCCAGTGGATACTCACCTTGTGAAGATCTATAGAGCCTTCACTTTCTTAGTTTGTTTTGCTGCTTCAAGCCTTCGGTGCATTCACAAGGAATGGAGGCCTAAAGTACCGCAAGATCAAGTGAGATCACTAGCGTAAGATATCATGCTACTGATCTTGTGTGATCTCATGGCACTTTAGGCCACTGTTCTTTGCAAATGGGAGGCCTGGATGAGATCTGCGGCAAAAGGCTTTGCAAATGGAGGGAAGGCCTAAAACATTGAAGTCTTCGCTCCATTTGCAAAGCCTTCAGGAAAGGCCTCTGCTGGTGAAAAGGAGACCAGGGACAACACGCACTTCCACCTAGGGCTCTGTTCTCAGCGGCAGAGGCCTTCAGGAAGTCTTCATTGGCGAAAACGGAGACTGGGAGTGATGTGCATATCACATGTTTTCGACTGCAAAGGCCTTGAGGAAAAGCCTTTTCTGCCGAAAAGGTAGCACCAGAATGATGCACGTGTTGCCCCTGGCCTCCATGATGCACACTCCCTCCAGGAGCTCTATTTTCATTGGCAAAGGGCTTGAGGGAAAAACCTTTGCTGTTGAAAACGGAGTCCCGGAGTGAAGCATGCATCAATGTGAACCTCCGTTTTTGGCAGCAAAGGCTTTTCCTCTGGAGCAGCGGTTCTCAACCTGTGGGTCAGGACCCCATTTGGGGTTGAACAACCATTTCACGGGGTCACCAAACAACGCAGTCTGCCATTTTTCCCCCTTTTCCTTAGCTGTGCTACTTACTTTTATTCTATTGGCTTTTGAAAGCCAATAGAATAGACTCTCTTGAATAGAGTCTAATTCTATTGGCTTTCAAAAGCTAATAGGAATTGTCCAGGCTATCTCTGCCCTGCTGAGCCCGCCAAAAGTCCCATTCTGCAAACGGTGCTGCAAGTTGTCTGCAGCGAAGGCGAGCTGTCTGGAAGTTTCTACCCCTCCCTGCTGAGCAACTACTAAAAATGTAAGTAAAAGAGGGCCAGGGGTGGGAGGCCGGCGGGTGCAGGGAGGGTTGCTGGCGCACATGG